AACTATTGTTTTGGTTTTTTAATTAAATAATTTTCAAACAAAAATAATTATTTTTTCACATTACTTAGATGATATATCCTTTAACCCATCCTCTACAGATAAATACATATTCTGTTAAAATGTTCTATTATTTAATCAGATTTCATATATCATTTCAGATCAAAAATATACCTCTGTAAATTTATCAGCAACCATGTATCTCACTCTCCAAGATTTGTCTTCTGCTGCTTGTCTCAAAGTAGCCATCACAAACTGTTCGACGTCGTCATGAGGTAATAATTCAGCAATGGAAACACAAGCTTCCACCCCAAGCAATCTAACTGAATCCTGTTAATAATAAAATATGAAAAAATGAATTAATAATAAAGTGGGAATGTAATGCTACAATGCAAACAAAATTTTTTATATTAAGTTACTTGTTCATCTTGAGCCAAACTAGCCCACATGGGAATCAAATCAGATTTCACATATTCTAATTCTACTACTTTAGCAAATTCACCAAGCTTGCTTGCTGCAGCTCTGCGGACCATTGGAGTGTCATCTTGACAAAGATTTCTGAAATGGCTGCAATAGAAATATATATGTATATATTTATATAAAGTAAGAATTAAATATATGATTATTATTATTAGATTTAAAAATTTTCATTAAGCTGATTATATACTTTCGTAATTCTGCTTTCACACTACTTGAAACTCTGGGATAACATACGCTGAAGAGTCCACATGCTGATGTTCGAGAAGTAAACCAGTCACCTGAAATAAAATTAAGTGCTTTAAACTAAATTTTAAAATATTTGTTTAATGAATTGACTCATAGAAATTTATGGAAAAATGTAAGATTATCTCTCTATAGCTGAAGACTCCACTTAGGAATGTAACAGTTTTCTCAACTAAGATTTAATAGATTCCACTAGAAATTATTCTTGATTCAGAATTTTATAATCATCAACTATCACAATTACTATCAATATTTGAATATCAAGTATCTGTTAATTATAAAATAGAACAGTACAGCTTGTTTCACAGATCCTGGATGTGGTGTAAAAATGTGCAGTTGCAAGGACCAGCACATTTACTTAGTGAAGAAAATCAATACATTTTTTACAAAGCACTGTTGTGCATTACCAAAAAGAGGCTTTTTAAAACTTCCATCCAAGATATGTGAAATGATCTGTAATATTATTTATAAATACAATTTCTATACTAACCTGATGCTAATCTTTTTACAAGAGGTACAAAGTATTGCTCTAAATCAGCTGAACTATGCTTCTGTGATATGTTCCTTAGAGATTCTACTGCCTTGTCTCTTACGACAGTCTCTTCAACTGTAGCTAGACTTTCTAATGGTGGCTATAAAATTATAACAATATATATTTACAAATAATAAATTGCAAATTTCTTTCTTTAGTTTACTCTTTAGTAAACTAATAAACATAAATATAATTTAGACTAATGGAAATCATTTATAGTACAAAATAGTGACAAAAGTTTTTGCCAATTTTATTATTATTTGCTAAATACTGAATTAGTTAAGAAACAAACACACAGTTAATTTAATATAAAGAAATAAAATATGTTATTTTTAATAATATGTTAACAGATCACTTTGAATGTTCAGTTAATATTAATGTTTTGAACATAAATTTTAATAACTATCATTTTAAACAGATTAAAAATATTTTGTTACTTTAATTAGATTAAATATATTTATATAAAAGATTAATTTATAGTATTCAATTCTAATTAATTTTTCAAAAAATAAACAGAATGTAATTCCTTATTTGATAAAATCAGAAGCAAGCTAAGTTATCAAATATAATAGATAAAATATTTATCTTTAGTTTGTGTACAGACTGTAAAATTATTAATAGAACCATTTTTAAAATGAATATAAGAATTAGTAATTTTTAACTGAGAATAATTGAATTTGTTCAAGATGAAGCAATGATTTGAGAATTTTTTCATAATCACAATGCATTTTAAAAAGTCTTTCATATGCTTTTATTTAAATAAAAAGTAAGATGTATGTATATTGTAAAAAATTGATCACAACCTGATGTGTGTCTTATTGTACTTTAATTTAGTATTGTTACCATATTATCAAAATAATTAATTGCAATAAACCATCACAATGATATTTTATCTTGAAATCAAGTTTTGTTTGCATTGAAATTTTGCTCACACAGTGAAAGAAGAGAGAATTATCTGTCATATTTACTCGTATAAGTAATAAACGTATGTACGTAACTGGAATGATAAATCTAGTTGAAATGAAAAAGGAAAATATACTTTCCTTATCAATTTAGGAATACATTTCATTTTTTATACCAGTGATAAGAAATAAGAAAATACCTATATAAACTAATGATTAATATTCTGAACTAAAGCACTATTAGTTCTTTTACAAGTTAAATGTATAATTTGGTATATAAAAAAGCAATACTATATAATGAATGCTTTTTACTTATACATTTAGTACTGTTTAATTACCATACTATAAAACTGATGGTGATTTTATATGATAATTATCAGCTGTTTTAATGCAGTAAATTATTATTTTGTAAAAGAAATAAAAGGAAATTCTCAAAAATCATTGCTTTTTAGTTAGATATGATTACTTTTTAACACAATTATGTTATTTACAACTAACAATTTTTTACTGTCAACTGTCATTATCTATCTATAAATTTAAGAATATATTCTTTTATTAAAAAGTTTATGTAAGATGTTACATAATTTTCTTATACTCAATTAGTGTTCTTAACATTATAATACTATGAAGAGGTTGTTAAAATGTGAATCTAAAATAAAATTATATAGTAGTTATTGATTTTTATGTCCATATACATTGTTATATTTTCTACCATTTTTTTAAAATATCTAAATGTATATATGCAAATTATTATTTTCTAAATACTATTGAAATAAAAATTTACTTACTAAGAGACAATGTACATATTCTGGACCTCCCACTAAAGTTGTAAAATTTCCCAACTGCTCAGCTAAAGCTAGTAGAACTTCATCCTCATCATATATAGTGTCTGCAAGTCATACACTGAATTACTCACAAAATTTTATTAAATTCAAAATAATTATAAATCATTATGTTAAGTTTATATAATAGACTTAAGTCATCCAACTGGAAATTGCTGTGAGAAAATCAACCATTATGGATTAAAGTGATTTTACACACATCTATACTATTATTTATATTGGAAAATATGATTTTATCTATTAATTATTATATATGTCATAACCTCTACCATTTTCTCTTTTAACTGGAATAAATGCTCTCAAAACTTTTCATCTGCAGTGGTGCCTTGTACTGTACTTCAAATTTAATTCCTTCTAGGAGGCCATTTGAAGTCTGAATCAAACTTTTCCATTAGAAATAATGGAAAGTGTATTAATCTGTTTCCAGACCCTAAACAATACCCATTTCAATAAACTCAAAAAAGCAAACACACAAAATTTAAGGTAAAAATAACACAATTAAAATGCCCTAATGATAAATTATAATGCAATGAGCAACTATTTATTGTAACATAGTCACAATGACAGGCTGAAATTTTTAATTTATTTAATTTAAATATATGCTCTCCACCTCAAATTAATAATAGTGTCTTGCCCCTGTACATCATATTTTTCCATTAGCAATGGAGTTGTGCTGATCATCTATTAACTGCTTTCAGGGAAAAAGTTTTGAATTGAAATAACATGACTTCCAATTTGCATCAGTGGTTCATATATAGTTAATTGGACCCTGCAGCCTCCAAGGTTTCCATATCTGGTCTTGGATTTCATTTATCTAACTCCATTTGAGATTAAGGAAAGACAGACAAAAGTGGAAATTTATAGGACTACAATTTTTTCAAATTGCAGCCCCAAAATGATAAATATGTAAATATATATAATGAAATGAAAACTGCATTTATCAGTCACACACTGTCAACTCCAACACATTAAACATGACTGCCAGATTCTCTACACACACCAATTTCTGGTATTGCAATAAATTCTTTTCTTCATCTCAATTGTTGATATTACAACTTCCTCTTAAACTTCATTGGTTTCACACAATTCTTGGGTGCAAGGTTAATAAGTAAAGGTTATATTTAGTTAAACACACAATTTTTGGATATTTTTAACAGCCTTGGTTACATAACACAGCTGTGCAATTTAACACATTATTGCTAATATGAGATTGTATTCTCTGTTTAGAAGCTTATTTTAAACTTTTCCACTTGATTTTATTAAAATAAAATGTTAAGTAAATTGTCTTCAGATAAAAAGCTTATCAGGAATATTATGCTTTATGAGTTTTAGAAAGGATATAATGCCATATACATTCAAAATAATTTGTAACATGTATGGGGAGATGCTGCTAAACTTCAAACATGTCAAATGTGGTTAAAAAGTTCCATCCAGAAAATTTTGAACTAAAGGATTACGAAACATACAAGGCATCCAAAAGCCGAGGATGAAAAAATTGCAGAAAGAAATTGTTAAAAATCAACAACACACAATATATAATCAAACACCAAAAATAAATAGAAAAAGTACTGAAAATATAACAGCATAACAACAGAAAGAGAGACAACTTGGTTGCACAACAGATTGCGTCTATGCTTCGAGTGCATTTTTCTGCTGTGCACACAGTTCGAACTTCAAACCACAATTCGAACCTGAAAGTAAATTTTTTTGTCAAATTTACTGTTTGAACTCTGATGCATTCAAAGTACAAGGTACCACTGTATTTATTTAAGAATCAACTTTTAGATAATGATATCAGAATAAAATAATTTTGCATGTAATACTTTTCAAAGCATGAAAAAACATTATTTCTGCCCTTAGATATAGTCCATTCAATAATTACTAGCATAATTTTTTTTGCTTTCATTTCATTTCTTTTTCCAATGAAAAATATTTTTATAAACATTTTTTGCATGCAACTTTTACTTATACTTTATTGATAGTGAATTTTAATAGACATAATTATAGTCTATATAGAGCAGGGTTTCTTAACCCTAGTTGCTACTGATGTCAGAGGAATCACTATCCAACGAGTCCTTAAAATACTAGAGATTGTTTAGATTTNTAACAGATTTCATCCTGGAACTTAAAAAAGGGCTTTAAATCACTTTACTGACACTTTTTCTGATTTTTTTTCAATCAGGAAGTGTCAGTAAAGTGATGTTACTGACTTAATACATTGTTAAGACTACAGATGAACTATGAAGTCTAGATATTGAAAGCTGTTATTAAGCTTATAGATATAATCATTAACAGCTATTCAGACTGTACCACTTAAGGATCTCAAGGGAGACCAGATTTATTTCTGTAACAAAATTTTGTGGTAGGTCTATGTATATGAACATACACACAATTTTATACACTTAACCATCATCAATTTTTCTGTATATTATAATCCTCACAGGATAAAGAACAAAATCATGAATTGTGTAGCCTTAAAAATTGCATAAAATCAGCCGATTAATGCTAAACTGTTTTTGATTTTGTATAGCAAACTAGCCTGGCTGAACTGATTATCCAAAGCTGTTATCTTTTACTTTAGTGTTTTTATTATTTATTGTTTAATTTAATTTGTAACAATTTTTTGTTGTTTTAATTGTATATTTGGACATTCTTAACCATAAATGATTGCTTCTTCAACACAAAGATGCCCAAGAACAATATGCTGATCAATCTAGCAGCTTAGAGTCAGATTTGCTTTCCTAATGCAATAATGTATGCTCAGGACAACGTGCTTTGACTTCTAATAATTCTCTCTTTATGATTAGTTTTAGAATAGTGAGGAAAGTATCTATCAAAGATGGTAGTACATTCACAATGTCAGTCTTCATTTTCCAAAACACGTCTTGCTGCTTGCATTGGGAATGGTAAATAGTGTTGACACCCATTAGATTGTATCAATATACCATATACAGTAATGTACAAAATAATGTTTATGACAAATGCAATGTGGAAATTGTATTTAAAATTCACATCATCATTCAGTGCCACATTTTACTGTGGACACATACACCTTTTCTCAAAGGCTACACACCAGCTTTGTTCTTTATCATGCAAAAAGTATAATTCATATTTCAATTTTTGCTAGTTTTAAATTTACACTAAAAAAACAACAAAAATTAAAAGAAAAATATACCAAAATGTTATGCCAAATAAACTTAATTCCTAACACAAGTAATGAGAGAGAGCTTGAGCTCAACATTATTATTATTTCTTGTAAAATACAAAATATTTTAGGAATAAAATACAAATGAAAGTTCATTACTTTCAATTTAAAAACAGATTTTTAAATCCAGTTTAAATTTACTGTTTTTACTTTTTAATATAAAAATTTTTTAATTAAATAAATTTCAAACAAAAATAATTATTTTTTCACATTACTTAGATGATATATCCTTTAACCCATCCTCTACAGATAAATACATATTGTGTTAAAATGTTCTACTATTTAATCAGATTTCATATATCATTTCAGATCAAAAATATACCTCTGTAAATTTATCAGCAACCATGTATCTCACTCTCCAAGATTTGTCTTCTGCTGCTTGTCTCAAAGTAGCCATCACAAACTGTTCGACGTCGTCATGAGGTAATAATTCAGCAATGGAAACACAAACCACTACTAATTTAAGGTGAAGAGCATATATTTTGAATTAAATTAATAAAAAATATGATTAAAAATTGCAGCCCGGCATTGTGACGATGTCACAATAAATAATTGCTTGTTTTGTAGCTATAAATTATCATCATTATCATCCATCCTACTTACAGCAAAATTCATCCGTGGTTTCTTCATACGAAATATGAATTAATACAAACATAATTACAGTTATAAGCAGCAGAAACTTCATGCTCGGAGTTAATTAAACCAATTTATCATTAAAAGGAAACGTGATAACAGGAGAAAGGTTTTATGAAAAGCGACCTTTACAAAATTATTCTTAATTTAAAATATCAGCGCTAGAAATATATACAGTGGTGCCTCAGTGCACGAACTACTCCCAACTCGAATAATTCGATATTCGAATGCACGTTAAAAAAAAAACAATGCTCGATAATTGACTGCATGCTCGGCACTCGACCGAAAAATACGACCTGCTTAAACAAATATTTTTATTTTAACTTTAATTCTGTTATCCGTAAAACTTTCCCGCGATAAAAATAAGTATCTAATTTAAAAATAAAATAAAAGCCTAGAGTTGAATATCTTCGTCAGACAAAATTATTCCTAAATTTAAAAGTCGTATTTTGCCATTCTGTACGGTTATTCCCAACGACATATGACTACCAGACCCCGAACCGGGCCGCCATCTTTGAAGCGAATTGAACGCGCTTCCGCCATG